ACATTTAAAAAGCCTGCTGAAGTTTCACGTTGAGCCAGCAGGGCTGAAAAATGATTTTGCAGGCAAATGTGGCGATCGTCATGAGAGAAGAGGGATTTGGGAAAACCCGGCAAAAGGAGGGCTGCATTTGAGGAAACTGTCACGGGTTCTCCACAGAATGCAAATTTGTGTGCCTCTTACACATCTACCTCCTGGGGACGTACCTGGCTCTTCACTTCAGATACTGCAGAATCCATACTTGTGAAAGGAGGTTGGGTTGCACTTCCACAGTGATAGAGCTGGGAACATCTGGCGCACGGGCCCGAACTGTCCCCGTGGCCCCTTCCCATGACCTCCCACCCCCCCACACACCCAACCACAGATTGTCTGGTCTATCCCCAGCTTTGTGCATTTCCCCCCATCATACATAAAAGATTGAAATACCTCAGCTAAGGTTTCGTTGTTGGCACCAAGAAAGCCAGTATATGCTGTTTTTTTGTAAATTTGTCCCCAGCCAGCCCTTTTTACCTTGGTACCAGCTGCCTTTGCATAACCCTGACCCTCCACTGGGATGCAGCCTCCAAAAATGTCTCCAAAATTAAATCAGCCCTCAGTTCACATCCCTTGTTCCACTGGATGCCCACAAAATCGTTTGCTGAGATTCTTGTCCTCACCACCACCCTGTGCACCCCTATCCCAAACCCCCTGAAATCTGAAACAGCATCCATGATCGGAAAGGACGGGTGATTAAAAAAGCAAGAAATTTAATTTTGCCATGTTATCAGCATCATGCCAAGCCATCCAGTGTGTGGAACCCAAAATTGTAACCAGAAGTCAGACAAGCTCTTTGAGAGTGTTCTGATCTCCAAACAATCTTTTCTAAATGTTTCACTTAAGGGGTATTTATGGAAGTTTAAAGGAGAAATTACCTTATGTGGTTCTCTTATGTGGCTGCTTTGAAAATGAGGAAGAGGGGGAAAGAACATGTAAGCTAGCCATTAAATGCAAATTAGACCTCTTGTACCACGCACAGTGCAGTCTTTGCCACCAGAAAAACATGTCTTGGCTTTGCTAGGGACGGATAATGAAGCCTTTCTGCACTTGGTGTCTCCGCACCCTAAAGCGGAGCATGTTGTTTGCCCCAGAGCCAGAAACAGATTAGACATTGCTGTAATTACACAATTTGGCAGGGCTTTTAAAAAAGCATTATTCGTACACAGAAGACTGGTAGCTATTCCACGGTTTTGGATAATTACAGGACTGGACCGAGATTATGTTCCCTTGATGTGTGGATTGGAACCAGAAGACTTCTGTTAGATTCTGCTTTTTCATTATTGCATCATCGCGAGCTTAGCTTCAGAAAGTTAAGAGAGATCCCCAGTCCCGCTGGCTCCATTTCTCAGGCAGAATCTACTTGCTAATTGATTGTTGGTGGTGAGTTGCGATTCCATACTTCCTCCAGGGAGCTCAGGAGAGCATGTACGCCCATCTCCAGTTTTATCTACAGGACAACCCTGCAGGGCAGGGCAGGCTGAGTGCACGGATGCCATCCTTGGCAGCTGGCAGAGGCCGTCAAGCTGGAGGTCTAGCTCCAGCCTTGGAAACACACCTCGAGGTTGGACATGGGCCTCCCTCCACCCTTGCAGCCAGCTGGTGGGGGTGGCACAAGAGGGGAGGGTGAGGCCTCACCGGGATATGCTAGATCCCAGAGGTGCCCAGCGCCGCCTCCTCGCGAGCAGGAACAAGGCACTTCACCATCCAAGTGTTCTGCATCCTCCCCTCTGCGCTCCTTCTGGGTTGTCGTAAGGCTTGGGGGAAGGCACCCCATCACAGGTGAGCCTCATGGTGAGCAGTGACATAGCAGCCCCGGCGATGGGGGGGTTCTCCCCCGAAGGGGCCCCGGGATCCATGTTGGGGCCAAAGGGGAAGGAGGGGGAATGGGGGCATCCCCAGGAAGGACCATCATCCATTGGGAGCACTCGGGGGGCTTCCACAAACCCATTTCTGGGATGCCTTATCATAACGTCTGAATGCCCTTATTGTGGCAGCTTCAAAGCGATCAGACCTCCTAGATGGGTGGTTTTCAACCGGCACCGGTTCATGCGAGATCTCCTGCCAGTCTGTGGAGGGCGCCCAGCCTGCCTGCCACGGACCGGCATGGGGGCTGGCTCTGCTCCACCACCTCTCCTTCGGTTGGCATCATGTTCATGGTGCCCCTGGGGGGGCAGGGGGGAGAGACGGCTCGCTGGCAGCCACGCTGCGCCGATTTCAGCTCTTCGTTCTTTTGTTGGCATTTTTTGTTGTTGAGTTTCTGGCTGTTTTGGAGACTTTCCATTTATCTTTTTGAATCCTGTATTATGTGCGCGATGCCTCAGCGGTGCCCGAGGCGGTCTCCCTCCTTTCGCCAGCCCCAGCTGTGGAGAGATTGGACACCACTGTGATAGCCTCCTTGGTCTTCCCCTTCCCCTTGCAGGGAAAGCGTGGCAGAGATCCCTTCCCCCCGCTGCATTTTACCCTCGCAAGCCCCCTGTAGGTTAAGTTCGGCTGAGAGTCACTGCCTGGCCCAGAGTCACCCGGCGAGCTTTGCAGCCCAGCGAGATCCGAGCCTGGGGCTTGCGAGTCCCCATCTGGTGCCTCCCGGGCTGCTCTCGCTGGGCTTTCTCTGCTGAGCCGCAGGCGGCCACAGAGCGCCCAGCTCAGCTGAGCCTAAGGCAGGGTTGGCCCCGCCAAGAGGTAGAGTGAGGCCCACTGGCTCGGGCGGCAGGTGCTGGGGGGCGGGAAGGGGCAGCAAGGCCGTGAAACACAGACGGGCGTGTGCCATCGATCCTGCGCTGCATCCCACCCTCAAATCAACATATAAGCCATGATTCATTCATCCCTAGACATCTGCGCTCCTTCCAGTGTCGCAGTGGCGTCCTCACATGGAAACCTTCACAGAGGAATACACGTCTTGGGGAAATGTGCTCACAGACACATGCGTATTGGTGAAAATAACTCATACGCATTATGCTTGGACAATTGTTTGCAAAAACTGTATAGCAAAATGCTTGTAATAGGAGAAACGCACACACAAACACGGACAAACTTTTGTGCATTTTTTAAAAAAATCTCCTAAATTTAAGATGGGGAAAATTCTTGAAGTTTGCGTGGAAACATATTTAAGATTAGACAACTGAGAAGCAGTAGTTGGCAGAGCCACCCTTCTGGGGTCTAGCATTTATTTTCCTAGCTGCTCTTCAGCTGGAAGCTGTTGGAACGGATTACCAAATCAAAGTCATCATGGCAGCTCATGCGACAAAGTTCATCATACAAAACATCAAAGCACGATGAAATGCCATCGCTGGGCAGCAACAGCAAATGCATAGTGCAATCCTACACGTCTACTTGTGAGTAGGCCCCATGGCGTTCAGATACTTGGCTGCATTCCTGTACAAAGAAAGAGGGGCTTCTCTGTTACAGCACCCCAATTACAGAACTCGATCCCAAGAGAGGCCAGGTCGGCTTCATCTTTATATTCTTTCAGAGGCCAACTAAAGACATTCCTGTTCCGCAGTTGTTTTGATGGGTGAATCAGTTTTGTGATTTTAATGATAGTTGTAAAAGTTTTTATATTATTAATGGTTGCTGCCATTTTATAATTTAAAGACTTAATTATGTATGTTTATTTTCCATTCTAATGGTTGCCTTAATTGGTTCAATACGTTGCATCCCCTCTCATTTCATTTCATTTCATTTTATCATAATTCATTGTCCTTATTTTATTTTTATCGACTGCTTATTTGTTTTTGTTGATTCCTGCTGATTTTATTGCTATTATTGCTATTATTGGTTTAAGGACAGGTTTTGTTGCATTGCTATATTGATTTTGCTGAAAGCCATCCAGACTTGCAGGGAGGCGTATGGCTCCTGAGAGGGCCTTTTGGCTAATGGGCAGCATATGAATCAAACAAGCAAACAAACATTCCTACCTGGGAGGAGGCCTCATTTAATTCAATGGGGTTTACTCTGGAGTAGGAGGCAAGTGCAGAACTGTGCTGCTAAGCACCTCCAAAGGCCTCCTGAAGCAGTAAGAAGTGGCTGCTGGGGGAGGGGTGCTAACCTGCCCCACATACTGTTCAGGTACTAAGGGTGTTGACACCTGGACTGGCCAAGACACCCTTTCAAATGCAGGCGGGTCCGTTGTGGACGAGGACACCTCCCCCCACCCCGGAATGGCACCCACTTTCCTTGCTCCGCAAGGCTGGTTGGCAGAGGGAGATGTGGGTGCTGCCATTGCTTTCCCACGCAGACAGAATTCAGCCAGCCACATTTCGGAGAGTCCCTCTCAGGGCTGTTCCACCAGCACTTCGCAATTCTCCGGTTCGAAATGGATACATGCACTCCCAAAATTATGCCCCTTGCCGTTCCCTTCTTGTTCTGTCTACGGGCTCCTCTGTTGTTTCAGGGGTTGATTAGCTTACTGATAAAATGTGACACGTCCAATATTGTCAAGGAATTACCTGCGGACGGTGGGCCAGCGATTGCGGAGAGGCTGAGGCAGAGAGAGATCATGACGATGAAGCTTCCGAGCCGTCCAGGTGCTTCTGCCTCAAGCGTCTAAGCTCGCTGCAGGGGTGCACCTTGCAGGCAGGCTGGGGCAACGGGGTGGGTCCTTCTCACTCGCCCCACGGCCTGCCCTGGAGCCTCTGTCTGTCTTCCCAAGCATCTCTTCTGCTGTTGCGTTTTTAATTCATTTATGTGTGCCATGCTTTGATTAATATTTTGTTTTTAATCTGGATTATATTGTAGCTTCCTTGAGAGCCATGTTTTTGCTGAAATGCAGGATATAAATGTTTCAAAAATAAAAGGGCCTGGGGTCCTTCCCGTTGTTGCAAAACCTGAATATTTGGACAGGGACCTCGGACGGGGAGAACCCCACAGTCCCCCCATGGCTGCTGGCTTTGAGAGACCGGGAAGCAGAAGCATCGCCCCGCGCACCGTCTGCCATTCAGCCGATCTCCTTTTGTCTTCGCAGGTGCTTTCCCTCTCTCGCACGGCTCCTGGCAGCGAGCAATGACATGCCGTGAAGGCGATCAGCACCCGAAGCCCGAGTGAGCACCCGCCTCCTCCCCTGCTTTGCAGAGCCAAATGCGATGGTGCTACTGAGGTGATTCCTGCGCTTCACGGTCTGCAAGGCGCAACTTCCGGCAGCCTCTCTTCTCCCGTTGCCCCAAACCCCTCTTCTGATGGACGGCGGACGGTGGTGACACCATGTAGAACGCCTTGAAGAGGTGTCCTAACTGAGTTGCAATGGTTTTGTACACTTCCCCATTTCCCAGCAGCTTTCTTTCCGCGTTGCACTCCTTCTCCTGGGGCTTGATCTTCCCGTGCTACTGGCTCGGAGACCGGCTCATAGCCTCCTTTGTGCCTACCACCTACGAGAAGCGCCAGCGGGGAGATGACCCGTGCTACTTCCACACCTTGTGCATCTTCATCACCACCCCCATCTACCTAGCACTGCTGGTGGTCTCTCTTCCTTTTGCCCTGATCGGCTTCCTGTTATGGTCGCCGCTCCAGTCCACACGACGGCCGTACATCTACTCCAGGCTGCAGGACAAAAGCCAGATCAATGGCAATACCTTGCTCACCGAGTGGAAAAGCACCAGCGGCGGGCGAAGCTTTTGCTTCGCCAGTGCCAACGTTTGCCTGCTGCCGGACTCCCTGGCGAGACTGAATAACGTGTTCAACACGCAGGTGCGGGCGAAGGAAATCGGCCGGCGCATCCGCAATGGCGCCAGCAGGCCCCAGATCAAGATCTACATCGATTCCCCCACCAACACGTCCATCAGCGCGGCGAGCTTCAGCAGCCTGGCGTCCCCGCAGAGCGGAGACAGCAATAACCGTGCTGTCAGTGTGGGCATCAAGAGGACCACATCCATGGAGTACAAGGGGGACAACTCTGGTCCGAACAACGGGGAAGATGGGAGGGAGGCCAGTGAGGGGGAAGACAGCAACACCTGCATCGTGCGCATAGGAGGAGAGGACAATGGCCACATTTCAGACCCGGACGCCGACGCCCCCGGTTGCCCCGTGAGCAACAACCGGGGGCTGGCAGACCGTTCCCCAGAGTCAGAAGCAGACAGCCTGAAAGGACAGACCCCCAACCACAAGCAAAAGGAAGGGGATTCCGGCAGCCTGGACAGCTACGGTGCCTCGCGAGAGTCCCTGGTGAAGGCGCGCACCGGAGATGGCCCGGCCGACCAGGGCGCCATCAGCAGCAAGCTCCTCTACAAGGCCTCGCTCATGAAGAAGACCTCGGTGAGAAAAAAGAGGAACACCGACGAGCCCTTTGACCATGAGATCTCGGCTTTCTTCCCCGCCAACCTGGACTTCCTGTGCTTGCAGGAAGTGTTCGACAAAAGGGCAGCGGAGAAGTTGAAAGACCAGCTCCATCATTACTTTGAGTATATTCTGTACGACGTTGGGGTTTACAGCTGCCACCACTGCTGCACCTTCAAGTTTGTGAACAGCGGCCTGCTTTTCGCCAGTCGCTATCCAGTTATGGATGCTGCTTATCACTGTTATCCCAACGGAAAAGGAACAGATGCTCTGTCCTCCAAGGGGGCGCTCTTTCTCAAGGTAGGACACACCTGTCCGCACTCCTTTGACATAACGGTTGTGTGCAATCTGCAGGTCTGGAAGGTCTCCATATAAAGCACCGTATTGGTGGCCTAAGGAGAAAGCTCCCCGCATGCCATTTAGAGCAGAACCAACATTGCTCTTTTTCTTTTGCCTTGTCCTCATTGTAAAACAAATGATGACGATGACAGAGCACTTTAAACTATATTTTGGATTATTCCAAAGGCTATGGGGATTTCTTGAGCTAGGCCTTTCTGTGTGCAACCAGAACTTCATAGATCCTAGAAAAAATTGGTGCATTTGGGGTTGGCTTTTGTATGCTCAGCGCCCAAGACTTAAAATAATTATAATCAAGAAAAAAACGCATTGATGCAATGTGCACATCTGTTTGATTTGCCTTTCTTGGAAATGCACATTCCAATACAAACATTGAAATTCACCAAAGAAAAAAGCCTCTGCTCGCTCTAGAATTTGCCATCCAGAAAATTGCATCTTTTATTTCGTTTTTTCCCAAGTTTCTAGTGCTCATACATGAGGGACAACATGCTGTGTAAGCTACAGGAGGCTGTCAATTTATCTGAAACATGCAAGCCGAGCAGAGAGTGAAAAACAGTAAGGAATGTTTTGCTACAAATCCACTTAAAGGTTCCGTGATTCCCAGCTGTAGAATGCACACGGCCTTGACAAAGTGGCTGCCGGATGCTGGTGAAATCCGCTTTTCACAGGTGCTGATTGTTCCGAGTTGCTTTGATGGCGTCATTCTGCACTGAGCAGTTCTTTTGTGTAACCCTCAGTGAAATGAATGGGAACTGTACCAAACCGTTTCGGTGTTCTACATATTTCATGGAGAAGTTCCCTGTGTGTTGTGATGGTTGTTTTTGACTTCTCTGGATCTTTTAAAGTGATTCCTGTGCCACTGTTTGCACAAATAGCCCCCCATAATGTTTATTTTATTTTGTCTTATTGTTAAATCACCCTGAGACTAAGCTAAGGGACGCGCCCAAAGAGTTTTGAATAAAGAAAGCAAGCAAGCTTATAGTCCTAGTTGTGAGCTAAACTATGGTGATTTCCATTTTACAGCTGAAAAACTGAGGCAGAATAATGACTTATTTAAAGTTATCCAAAGGCATTTTATGTTGAGTGGTAATTTGAAACCAGGTCCAATATTTTTAATCACATGTTGAGTCACTTAGCTAAGAACTGGGCCATGCTATCATTCAGATCATTTTTAAACCTATTTTGGGCAGTTGTTTTTCAGTATAAGATTGTGTATAAGTTGGAATTGTCCATTTGAGAACAATTACAATAATTAACAATCTGATCATAATTTGTGCTTGAACACTTCTCAGTTTGGATTTTGAAATCCACCTGTTCTCATGAGCTGGCTTTCCGAGATTCTTCCTCACAATAAAACTATTCCAGTTGGGTTTGAAAGATAGCTTTGAGTGGCAGATGGTATGTGAAGAGGCAAACACGCAGCATGAGCTAAGTTACCAAGTGAATTGTTGATGGGAGATGGGGAGAACAAGGTCTCCCAGGCAGGAAACAAGCAAGCCTGATAATTCATCTCGTTTTAAATGCACCAAATATTTCACAGAGATGCAGCAGTCGGTCTCATAGCGTGAATATTTGGCCCACATTTTGCAGCAGTAAAAGAAAGTGGCGGGGTGGGGAAAGAAGATGTAGCAGAAAAAAATAGGCCAAGAGAGTATGGAATAGCAACATAAATTTTAGGAGCACTAAGTAGCCACAGCTAGCAAGTGTCATAAAAAACTGCACAGGAACAGCAAAACAGAGCAGCATATCAATAATATTAGTGGCAAACACAAATATAAATTCAACTAAAATGTAAAAAAATTAAAAACATCGAGCCCATCAAAATAACACATGTGGCCAAATGTAGTAAAAGAAGTCAATGAACTAACCTGGAGAGGAACTTTCACCATGTGGTTGACGTTTAGGCATAATTGCTTTACAATGGTCTGTTTTGCATCTATATGTAAATTACGTTATGGATCTCTTTAAACCTTATTCAGGAAGGCTGTAATATTCTTGGCTCATTTAATCTCTTTTCTTTTCTTTTTCTCTTCAGTGGCAGTTTAAATTTTGTTTCGCAATACACAAGAAAAATAAATTTTAAAATTCCAGGAGGTCCTGAACACGGCACCCATCAACATCACGGTCCCTGCTGTGTCCAGCCTTGTCTTAGCTTCCTTCCCCTCCTGATTGTCTTGGTTTTACTTTTTTAAGCACAGAGCCATCTTGATTTCCCGGAACTCCTCTGGGCCCACATGGTCTTCTTTTTCAGGTGACATCTCTGAGACTCCTCAGTTTGCCTTCTGTGAAATGGGTATTGGTGGCAGAAAACTCTGTGCTCAAAAGACCAGGTTTGGGTTTTGGAACTCAGGCACCCTGTCTGCTTTTGGGCAAGTTCTTTTTCTTCTAGCTTGCTTGGAAATGGATGGCTACACCCATCGCGGTAGCCATTTCACTGACTGGGCAAGTCCCCAGAGGCAGCTCTTGTCCCTCCTAGAATTCCAGATGAGCCCTCTATCAAGAACAGTAGGGAATCCCTCCTCTTCTCCATTAAGCCACACACTGCATTTCATAGCCAAACTTCTGAAGACCTTAAAGTGCTGGTGGAAGCAAGAGGTCCTTCAAGAAGCCGTTGAAGCGCAACTCTCTCCATCTAATTCTGCCCCACACCCTGCAGAAATGCAGCAATTGGGAAACGTGGATGCGACCCAACAAACAAAAAGCAAGGGGGGGCGAATTGGTGCCCACATCCTGTGGTAGTGGTGATCATTTTTATTCCAGCCGTATGCAAGGTCTCCATTTTCCAGAAAAACATCCTTTGAGAATTAGAGGTCACTGCTTAATTTGCAGATGGGAGAAGTTCGCTGGAATTCTCCAAGATTTATAGCATTCTGTCTCGAAAGACTCCTTCCCTATATTCTTCTCTATATGTGTATGTGAATCATCCATGGTGCCAATTACAGACAAGGGACAGAAAGTACAGCCAAGTTCAAGCGAAAGCTGGTGGAACACGAGTGCCGGCAGCTGCCCGATCTCATAAACAGAGATTCACAGCACAGTAAAGTTAACATCTCTGCGTTTATGTGATGGCTGATTTCGGTGCCATCTCAGGCTTGTAACAGCTCCATTCTCCCAGTCTACACTTCTGCTCGCTCGCCTTCTCTCTCTCTCTCTCTCTCTCTCATTTCTTTATGCTATGATTCTGTTGGAGCATCGGAAAATGGCAATATGAGTATAAAATACTAGGCAGAATAATCAGTTCTGAATTCCAGCTTTCTTGTCTCCTCTTTTTGGAAAGCAAGTTCCTAGCCCCTGTGACTGTAAACACAGGCTTGAAAATCTATAGCTAATGCTTGCTGAAGAGGCATTGAAAGATGCTTCCAGAGCCACGGGTGATGCTCACGCCTCACCACTCCTCTCAGTAGCAAAACTGGGATCATGTTGAGACACAGCATAAAATGTGCACATTGGTTAATTGGTGTAATTCATACAGGTCAGACAATCTCATTTCCTTGGTGCCTCCATGCTAGCAAATGGACTTGCCAGACTCATTGTGCCAGGTATTGTAACAAGTTTATTTATTTATTCGATCAAGGTCTAGACGACTTGCCGTATTGACAAAAATACTTTTCGGTGGTAAAATGCCTGTTTGCCGAGCTTCTGAACAGAAATGTTGCAAAGAGCTTGTGGTCCATTTGTCACAATCGGGATCACTGGGAATTTCACGATTGGAGCATTTTCTCATTTTTCCATACATCAGTTCAGTTTGTCCCCAGCCTTTTGAAAAATTGGTTGGCATGAACATTCATACATATTTTTTGTATCCAGTTTTGCTCTTTTTGAAAGCAACTTTTATAATGCATTTAGAAGATTATTTCACTAATACACACATTTTTGATGTGCACTTTCCCCTCTAATTTGGATTATTGTATGCAGTTTTTGATTCCAGAATTCCATTGCAAATTTCATCAGTTCAATGGATAAACAGGTTTCAGTTCACGATCTTTCAAAAGTGTGAAATTAGGTTAGACTACATTAAAATGCAAACCAAAAATTTATCCCCATCTTTTAGTTGCTAATAAAATGTCTCTAAAATTTGTAATCAGCAGAATGTAAGGTGAATATAAAGATTCCAAATGCTCATCATGTAACTGTAACATGTGTTTAGCCCCCTTCCGCAGAAAATTTACAATTCTTGAGTCTTCTATTTGTTGTGAATGTTTAACCTAAAACACTCTTCTCCAACCAGTCACCCTCTTATCTTTCAACCCACTACCTCTGCTTTCATCCCGAGACACCCTGGGATAATAGTCCAGCACAACTGTAGGAGTTTTGGGCTAGAACAATCCAGAAGGGTTCAAATCATGCTTTTTTTTAATGCTGTTATAACTCTCATCCTGGATTTTAGCTCTCATCCTGTTCCTCTCTGTCTGCCCATCCATCCCTGTATCAGCACCACAGGCTCAAGATTATGAAACCTAGATGCCTGAAACTTGATGAGCACATGAAGGGTGACCCCTAGGGGTGTGAAACTCTGCGTTATTTTGTCTTTAAAATGCACTAATTTCTTTTTATGCCCTTAAACGTATTCCTGTGGTTGAAGCCTGCGGTAGCATCTCCAGTCATTAGGGACAATGACTAAGATGTCCGTGGACAGGGTTCTACCCCTGGCTCCTGCCCTTGCTGCTGTGGGGCAGACCGCCTTCAAGGAGATGGGGTGGGCTGGCCCCTCTCCTGGGGGCTGCACAGGTTTTCTCAGCGGGGGCTGCTCCCAGGCGTGCTGGGGGCGTGGCTTCTCTCCGACTATGTCCCCCGGTGGCAGCTGAGGCATCTGCTTGCAGCGTTGCCTGCATCCAACAAAGGCCTCTTCCAGCCTGCACGAAGCCCGGCTTGTTTGCCAGCTGCTCACATACCACTGGCGTGTGAGCCCCTCGGCAGACAATTAGTCAGCAGTGAGGAGGTCAGGGAGTCCCAGATTGCCTTGGCGCTGGTGCAGACATCTTTCGTAAGACCCGTGGACCGCTGCTGCCACGCGGATTGTTCACACATTGGGACGGGCAGACCCGCCGAGGTGCTGTCGGCATCTTGAGTTCCGCAACCCCTCCCACTCCCACATTCACGCAACATTTAGCTTCGTGGGCCTGTCCGTGCCGGCTTTTCAAAACGAGCCTTCCGTGTTTTTCCTTAGAGGTAATCTGAATATTTCATATACACGTAGTGCCTTTGCTAATGCAAGGCTTGGCTGCCATCCACCCCTAGTGATGCTCTAGAACCGTCTTCCATGTCCTGGTGCCATGCTGAGTGGGGAAAATGGGAGTTGTAGTCCAAGTCATCTGGAGGGCAGCAGCTTGGAAACAGTTGTGGCAGAATTCTGAGAGAGGGGAAGCAGGAAGCATTTCTCATCTTCTGTTATCGAACAAAAGACAGGAGAGCCTTCCTTAATTAAGTCACAATATGCATGTCTTTCCCATTGGTATTCATTTTTCTCCCTTCCTGGGAATAAGCTGGGAGACAGGTCTGGGCTCAGGTTCCTTGCCACTTTGGGAAGTGCTCTAGCTCTTGCTGCGCTAACAAGAGCAGTGTGTGAGCAGCTTTCTCCAGAGCAGAGAAAATAAGCCGAGAGCGCGTTCCCTGCTTAACCAGAGCATGTCTGAAATAAGTGTCCGCCTCCTTGCTCTTCGCCACAGATTCATTCCTGTCGTGAGCCAGGCGTCCCTCCCCAGCGAAGGCAGCACTCCAATCCTTGTTAAAAGAGTCTTTATCCCAAACAGCTACAAAGTATTCACAAGCCCCGAAACACACTCAAGCTGACCTCTCGCTCTGACCCCGGTCACCCAAAACCTTGTCTATGAACCCCTTGGGGCCAGTCTCTGGAGGACGCGGGCACGCCGCTCCTCCCATCGGGCTCCAGTTGGCAGAGCCGGCGAGCGCATCGACAGGCCCAAGCATCCAGAGCCCCCGCGGACCCCTCCCGGCCTGTTCCCCGCCAGCTTCTTTCCCACCGTCAGGAATGGGAGGGGGCTCTGTGGTTGTCCTTGAAGAGCTGCGATCCGGAGCTGTCTCGGGCGGGCTCACCGGGAGGGTTTGGGCCACCGGGGCCTCGCTAGTCCCAACAGCTCCCGCATCCGAGTGAGAACGGCCGGTTTGGCTCTCCACTCCCGCTCCTCTGAGCCTAAGCCGCCGTTCCCACCAGAGCCCTCCATCTCCTGTGCACGCCTGGGAATCTCATCGAAGCGCATGCACACAACAGTTCCCAAGCTTTGCACACATTTTCTCGCTGCTACACAGCCCTCCCTGCAAGGAAGACCCTCATGCCCCCGCCAGAAAGGTGACCGCATCTCCTTCGCTGCCACTCAAGGGCTCCTTGAGCTATTGCTGACGGTGCCAGGGAGGGCTAGGCTCTCGGTGGCTCCAGGTGCCTGTGAGACCTCGGCACGTGGATGAGAGATGGCAAAGTGCCGAGAGTCCTGGAGGCCTGTAGCAACCGATGGTTGCGGACTGCTCTGAACTGCCTGGCTGCAGCAGATGCTACGGCTGGGTTCTCTGGAACACCCCCCGGAGGAGTCGGTGGGCTCTCCCGGCTGGAGCGTGGCTGGCAACAGGGGGCGGCCCCTCACCCTGCTTCAGGGGTGGGCTGGCCCCATTCGTTCTCTGAGTCCCAGCCTTAGGGACCAGTGCAGTGTGGTGCTTAGGAGTACCAGACTAGGACTTGGGCAGCCCAGGTTCCAGTGCATCCAAAGCACACAGGGTGACTTGGGCCCGTCACCCAAGAGGAAGAGGATGCTTACATAAGGATGCTCTGCGGGAAGAAAGATGGCACATAACTGTAATATAAGGAACACAGCATTACAAATACAAGGAAAGTTTCCATCGCATCTGTGCAACATACGGAGCTATTTTACACCAAGCACAATTTTTAGAGCGAGCAATCTGCTGGCCAAGAGGGGCTGTGAAGAGCACTGAACTGGGACTGCAGCGCTTGAAACTTTGATGCCTGTGTAGAAAAGGAGATTTCATCAGGTGCAAGTTGAAAGCACAGTAAGCTGCAGCTGCTTGAGCGCCTTCTTCTACAGACCTATTAAATCTGCAAGAGTTCTTTCCTCTTTCATATTTTCATGCTTTGCAGTATTGGATCACAGACATGCAAGCACATGCAGTATTTGGCAGGGCCGTTCTACTGTTTCGCTCTCATAGATAATAACCTAGAGCAAAACCTACATCTTCCTGTTTAAATGCTTCTAAGATAGTGGGGACTTGTCAGACCTCACCTGGAATGTTGTGTTAAGTTCTGGGCACCCAGGTTTTAAAAAGATGCAGAGAAACTAGAAAGGGTTCAGAGGAGGCAACAAGGATGACCCAGGGTCTGGAAAATAAGCCCTGTGATGAAAGGCTGGGGGAGCTGGGCATGTTTAGGCTCGAGGAGAGAAGACTGAGAGGGATTTGATAGAACCCTACAAGTACCTGAAAGGCTGCCACAAGGAGGAAGGAAAAGACCTCCTCTGACTGTAGGACATGGAGCAACAAACTTAAAACTGCAGCACACCAGATTCAGGCTTGACACCAAGAAAAACTTCCTCCCTGTCAGAGCAGCATGGCAATGGAACTAGTTGCCAAGAGAGGTCGTGTGCCCTCCCACGCTAGAGATGTTCAGGGTGAAACTGGACAGTCTTCTGGGTGGGGTGATGTGACTTGGCATCTGGCACCAGCCGGGGATTGGCCCCTTCCAGCCTGCTATTCCATGAATCTGGTGCATCCAGTGCTCACAGCTGTGAATTCCACAAGAGAAGGTGTGAGGTCAGAAGCGGAGCTGGGGACTGCAAGAGATTAGGGCTGCTCCAACGATGTTCTGCTTCCGTTGAATTTCCTTTCACCATGTTTAAGTAATATGTTAATCTGGCAAAGCGAACATCAGTGCCTTGTAAAGCAAGTCAGCTCTCCAAGCAAGGCAGCAGGGATGCCAAACTCCTAGAAAAGAGATTTCGGTAAAGCTTGATCAGCTCCAGTATTGAAGCCAAATGTGCAGTGGGTGCTTAGCAGCGGAGGAAAGCAAAAATATATTTCCGAAGCTTGGAGGAGAATGTGACTTTTGTCCTGTGTTCAGGGTAACAGGCAAGCCACCCTCTGAAAAGGCTGCACCTGTGCTTGTTCGTGTTTTAAATCCTACTACTGGTTCATGCAGTTACTACTAACGTGCCCAGAGCTGGGTGGAAGTGCATAGGACGCTTGGAGTTGTGTGAGCTGTAAAGGGGCACTGCCGAATGCCACTTGCTGTGGCATTAAAATGCGAATATCCTCTTGGGCAGAAAGGATCAAAATCTACTGGGAGTTCATGGATTTTGCCTAAGGACCCCCAGATTCTAGCAGCAAGGTGTCTCACACCTGCTCCCATGTTCTTTTTTGGCCCAAATGCAGAGCTTGCTTTGGTGGAGCTGATCTTGTCCCCAGACACTGGATATTGCTGTGTTCTCTGAACAGCAAGACCTCTCAGAGGAGTCCTCTGTTTGAAGGGATGTCCAGCCCGATTCCAGGGCAAAAAATAAAAGTGTATGAGGAGGGAGAGAAGGGTACCCACCTTTGGTAGTGCCTCAACAGCTGCTGTGAGCAGGTGCAAAGCTTACCTGTTACAGTAAGATGCACGGAATTTCTATTTGAGGCACGTTCAGCTCCCCTCCGCAAAAATTTGCATTTCTACATGAAAAGATCCATATATGCCTCTTCTAAATTGGTGTCCTGTTCCCCCCCACCCCATGTTTTTGGTGACATGTTTCTTCTTTTCCAGCAGGATGTGTGTGGATACCTTTGGTCTTGATTTCATCTTTTTCTTTCATAAATGTTAATGTCAATATTTTTTGAAAGCAGTTTTGAGGGACTACTTTTTTGAAGAGAAAAAGTGGAGTTTAACATTCTTAAGTCAAGCCTGTTTATCTTTAATTATAATGGAGAGAGAGAGAGCGAGAGAGAGCGAGAGAGAGAGAGTTATGCATGTTTGACAGATGACTGTGTCCTGTAACTCAAAGCTTTTCTCAGGCATAGATTGTCCCCTTGGAGAAAAAGATAATGTGGTGCCAACTTTCTGAATTATGGTGCCCAAGAAAATCTGTTCGTCTGCTCCATTTGTTATCTTGCCCTTTGGCAGGGAGATGCTGGAACAGCCCTAAGAAACACGTCGCACTCTCAGACCCAGACCGTGCTGCAAAATCTTGCATGCAGACCCTCCTCAGTGGAATGAGGTTCTCAGACGGGTTCAAGCAGTTGCTCCTCCTGATGCCAGAGAGAGAGAGACCATCTGATGAACTTTCACTCCGAGCACCAGTGCCTCATGGCTCTGCGGTGAAAGGAAACTGTCTCTCTCTGCAGCAAAACCCCCGTTCTCGTGCTGGTTTATGGGGCTTTGATCCTAGAGGGGATCTCATAATCCATTAACTATTCTCCCTCTTTTCCCCCCCTCCAGGTGCAAGTGGGGAGTACACCTCAGGACCAAAGAATTGTGGGATACATTTCCTGCACTCACTTACAAGCTCTGGCAGGTATCGTATGGAATCCCTCTCCGGGTCTTCTTTGCAGTCCTTTTGCTGTTCTTGTTTTGTCTACTAATTGGGAGACTGTGAAAGGTTTAGGGGCATCATACATCTGATTACTTCCTACTGTAAAATTCTCTACTATCAACACTGCAGACTGCACTGGTTTATGCATGAAGCCAAGTGCTCTGTAGAAAATGCAGGGTTTGGCTTTACAAGATTTAAGGCACAATCCTGTACACAGTTAGACAGAATGAAGTTCTGCAGTTCCCAGTAAACCTCCAAGAACATAAATGATGTGTGAGGTGCTGAGACTGGAAGACGCCTTTCTGTCTATATACGCCTAGGATATTGAACCCTTCTGCTGCCTTTTTGCTAAACTCTCAGGTTCCACCAACTGGGGCCAGGTTGAAACTATGGGCAGGAGGACATAGAATGTGGGAACAGGGTAGGGTGTCTCAATCCTGGAATTTGAGTTCAGTACTAGAAATGATCCTGTGGCTCTTTCGCCTGCAAATCCGTGCTTGGTTTTTCCCAAAGTTTCTTGCTGCTGCTGCTGCTATTAAGCAGTTGGGTGCCAGAAACCCTTCCCAGTGCATTGAAGGAGGGTTGAAAGAGCTGGGCATGCGTGGCCTTGAGAAGAGAAGGTGAAGGTGAGACTCGAGAGTGACCTTCAAATACCTGTAGAGGGCGGAGCAGAGACCAGGTCGAGAAATCATGGGCTGTATCCAGTGGTGTCATTCCACACGCTCAAGTCACAATAACGGAGCCCCTCCATGTCTTTCCTTTGCACATGAGGCTGCCCAGCTTGAGTGGGGATGAGGTCCAGAAGCTAATTTGCCAGATGCGCACTCCTTCCTTGTTCGGTTGACGGACGCAGAGGGAATGTTTGGGGTTGGGCAAGGGCTGTTAGATGAGGAGATCTGCAGAGCACATATCGGGAGGATGGTGACTCCATCTTCACCATATCCACACTGGGTTTTCCTCTGAACCTTTAAGGAGTAGTCCATGGAGTGGTCCCGTTTTGAGGCTCACGGGGGCGTTTCAGCACTGTGGATAGCTCCCTTGAGGTGCCGACTCAGTCCCAGAGTGGGTACACCAGTTCATTGGCTCCGAGGTCACCAGCCTCCCATCCTTGTACCTTTATTCCATAGCCAACACAGAAATTATATTCCAGTGGTGGGGAAACAGCGTCCCAGCGTCATGAGCCATAGTTCCTCCTTCAGACTGTCACCAGCCACAGGCTGTTTTCCTTGCATCCTTCATTGCTTCCACGTGCTCTGAGAATGCACGAGGCATTGTGTTGACCCCAATCTAGTGTTTACCTCCTGGAACTCTCCTTACAAGCATTCCTGGGCCCCATCCCTTTGCGGGGGCACTTTCTGTAGGACAGCACACCTCCTCTCCACATTCAGTTGGGCCTCCCGCCTCCGCTGCCACCTTGCCATGGGGTTGAGTGCGGACAGGTGAGCCTAGTCTGCCTCTGACAATCCCTCATCCTCAGAGGTCCCTCCTAAATGCTGTACATCTTGGCCGTTCTCAGGAACTGCCTGGCTTGGTGAAGCGGCTGACCTTGGGATAATTACATCCTTCTCGCTCATCTCAGATCTCGACCTAGCCCATCCTCCACAGTAATCTCCTCACTTCCTGATTCTGCAGAATCTGAGAGGCAGCCCACAGCCGTGGAATGGATTGCCCAGGACCAGTGTCCTTACTCCCAACACGCAGGGGCCAAACCGGGGGGTCTAGTCCAGCCGTCTGGGACTCCTTCTCCCTCCCCACTGATCATGCATCAGTTTTGTTTTTCCCTGCTGCTCTTCCCTATTCCAAATGCCTCTCCTAAGAGAGTTAAGCTAAATCAGGCTGGTATTTTGGATGGATTTTGGCACCTCCCCTTTTGCCTTCCAAATCACCACATTTGCTTCTGGATCCTGCCCTGCTGGGAAGCAGCACGCAAGAAGAGCTTCTGCCAAATGGGATTTGACCCCTGGGCAAAAGAGCCCCCCCCCCCCCCCCCCCCCGATACAGCCCTAGCCATCCTTGTCAGGTGTCACTGGCCATAAGGAGCAAAATGTCATCCCTGAACTATGTCCGCTTTGGGGGTGTCTAAGGAATTCAGCTTCTGCAGAAAACCGATGTGAACGGGCCTCTCACACTTAAAGCCGAACACCAAAGCTCTCAGACTGGCCTGAAAATCAGCTCTTAGCCGTGCAACGGCCTGTGTGCTTTGCCACGAGTTGGCAATACAGTTTTCAGTGGTCTGAATCAGGGGTGGCCCACTTTGTCTCTCCAGAGGATTGTTCCTAATTGGCCACGTTGGCGAAGGGTGCTGGGTTTTGTAGGCCGAAACATCCAGAGGCCGACGAATCTAACCCAAAATATCAACATGCATGTCCAATGTGCATTTTGAGAGAGGTTGCACCGCAAAATATGTACTTTAAGATAAAGGTATTTTGAAATACATATTTAAATAGGACTGTTGTGTAAACTTGAAAATGCAGAAATGGGAGGGAACAGACCTATGGGTGACAGTGTGCAAAACTGGCATGGAGCAGGAATAAAATAAGCCATCTATTCCTTGCCCATTGTTTAAAATTGTTCCATGGCTTTGCAAAGTCAGTGTTTTCCATGTCCAGTGTGGTCATGTAGAATTCTGCCCTAAGCTGCATCCATTTTTGATGGGTCCACAGGACAAGCAAATATAATTTACTTAGCCTTTGTTGGCTTCTCATTCTGTATGCATTGAGTCTTTCTAAAGTTCCTGCAAATCTTCTGCAAAAGCTGGCTGCAAAGAGGGATCTTTGGCATGAGCCAGCGAGAGGGGAGGGGAACCATATGCTGCATCTCTTCGCCTGAAAGCATCCAGAAAAAATCCCGGCTTTCTTTGCTTCCTTACCAGCCCCTTTTCAGCAAATGAAGCTGTCTTCTCTCACCCGATATGAAGAATGGCTGGTAATCCAAATATTATTTGAATCTTATCTCAGAGTAAACATTGTGTCATCTGGTAAAGCTTCAGGGTTAGTTTATACATCTAAAATGGTTTTCTAAACATCACAAGGAAAGATGGGGAAAAGATCAATAAGAACAAGCCCCTTCTTGGAAATCAGATAAATTCAAATCCTTGGCCTCTCTAGTTCCTGCAGCAACTGTTAGCAAAAGTTTGATGTTTTCCACAGAAACTAGTACAAAAGAATGCCTGCGATCCCAGCGCCAAGACATGATGGGCAAAAAGCCCTTTGTGTATTGATTTGGAATGTGGCTCTGGAAACAGGTGAGTTTGGCCCGACCTTGAGAGGCCTTTTGAGGCCGGCTCCAGCCCTCATTCTGCACCTGATGATATTGCCAGGCACAAGGCAAAGCGGGGAGGCCCCGCTGCTAACCGGGACGGCTATAGGTCGCCTCCAGCACTATGCCAATGCACACCAGTTTCTAGGGGACTTGGGTGGGAGGGCTACAGTCCCGTTCTGCTTGGGGGTTCCTTGTAGACCGCCGATTGGCCCCTGTGTGCAGGTAACACTGGGCTGGAAGCTCCTGTGCTGTTCTTAAACTGCAGGACCATCCCAACGAGAATTTCCCGGCCCCCAAATCCCTGGAATCCAAAGCTGACTTCATAGCAGCCTGCCAGTGATACAAAAAGAGTCTGTGCCTTTCTCACATCACTCTGCGTGCATCAGTGCGCGGGATTCTCAGGCAGGGCACTGGCCAGGTCTGCTCTGTTGCCTACTCTGCCTTACCCATCTCAAAGTAGGGGCCTGCCAGTCACCATCTTAATTACCCTCGATGCCTCAGCGTGACCTGCTGGGAGCATTGTGGGAAATCTGAACGGTGGCCCTTGGACCCTGCTGCCCAGTGCTGCCACCATTGCCCCCACCAGGAGGACAGGAGAAACCCACCACAGGCTCTGGTGGGAAGGAGCCCACCATAGGCTCTGGTTCCAGGCAGGGCCTGGAAGTGTCATTCACGCAGGGGAAGCTGAGACACCAGCTGGAGTCAGAGTCCGTCCCCAGCCCCAGCCTCTCCCCGGCACACCCCTCCCCACACCCCCACAGGCCCAGTTGCAACCTCTGTGGGGCTCCCAGTGCTGTTATTTCTGTGTCGCTGCAAGATTAAAACCCTAAAAATACAATAGCATTGCACAGGCTAAAAGCACTTGTACGCAAAGGCAAAGAACAAGTTTGCACAAGGTCCTAGCCTGGCAGCATTGAAGCCAGGCAGACCTCCCTGGGGAGGGCATTCCATAATCCGAGGGCCACCACCAAGAAGGTTCTGCCCCCCCCCCCCCCCCCCAATCCTCCCCACCTCCCTCAGAGGATGCTCTTGAAGGAGGAGATTGCGGGTCCTACGGGCTTATGCAGGCACTGATGGGGAAAGAACGGTATCCGTAGTCGGAGACTGGGAGGGGAAATGTCCGAGAACAGCACACTGGTGATCTAGGCTTGTTGGAATGGCCATGCGTCTTCCTTCGTGGAAGACAAGTCCTCTGCTTGACAGGCTGTCAGAGGACTTTGCTCTCAGTTGAAAAGCCGTCCAGTCCAAGTCTGGTTTGAAGCCAAAGGACCTCAAGACGGGTCAGAAGCAGGTTGAGTGAGCACAGCACAAAATGCACCTGCTGAATTCTCTGCTGCTTTATTTCATTTCCTTTGAAGCTGTCCTAGTGCTTTCCTGGTTTGCATCCCCACCCACATGACTTAGCACCTGAAAACTCGGTGCCAATCCGCATCCTCCTTTTCAGTGGCAGCATTTCCTTTTTCCGGCGGTGTGTAAGTAAGTGGTCCCCCAGGTGTGTGTGGGGTAGAGACTGGTATGGTTCCAAACCAAACCCCGATGTCTTCCTGTAAGTCCAGTTCCCTCTTTGTTTTCTTGGAGTTATCCATGGCGTGGATAAATCATAGTTTTATTCTGCTCTGCCAAGTCCTCCTCTGCTGATGTGTCTGCTCCCCATCCATGAGTGACTTCACCTTCCACCTTTTGTTCAGTGCTCATTCAGCGCCTTCTTTCTGTTTCTCTTC